GACCTCGCTTTCCTCAAGTCGGGCAGGTCCCCCTTCAGACAGGCGGCTTTTGGGCGAAAGCTACAAAATAGACAAGACATACCGCCAAATGATCAAAACATACTTTAAAACAATCGCCCCCACTGGGTTTATTTTCTAACTATCTTTAAACATTCTCCTTGTAGAGGGACACGCCCGACTTAACGCTTTCCAGACGCGGCACCGGCACGTCGGCGGCCGCCCGCAGCAGGGCGCGCCCCGCTGCGGCCAGCCAGCGCTGAAAGCGAGCCGTGCCCCTCCCCCCCTCCGTCGAGCACGCGGGACGATCGGCGCGCAACACGAAGCTTAGGTCGGGCATGTCCTCCTCCAGGAGGGTTTTGGATGAAAAAAATACTAAACAAATCGTCCCCTGACTATTTTTTGACTATGTTTGCACATTCCTCCTGTAGGGGCACACGCCCGACTTACCACGAAGCGCAGTCGCCGAGGAGAAACCTGCCGGCCCGCGCCGGCCTCCGGGAGCAGGGGCGCGGGAAGGCAGGACCAGGCAGCGATCGGAGGCGACGATGAGGGCGAATAGCCCGGGCGGGCCCTACACGCGTACCCCTCCGAGAGCCTCGCCGAAGTCATGGACCGTCGACGCCCCTTGACACGGAAGGATGAGGAGGCAGGAGGAGGCGGTAGGAGGAGGAGGAGGAGGAGGAGGAGGAGGAGGAGGAGGAGGCGGAAGAGGATAAAAAGGTTCCGAAAACCCCGAACCCACAACGCGCATCTTTTACTTCCGCCGCCTTCCGCCGGTCTTCCGCCGGCCTTCCGCTGGCGGAGGCGGCCTCGCTTTACTTCCGCCGACCTTCCGCCACCCTTCCGCCGCCTTCCGCCGAGGAAGAGCTGGCAACCCCTTCGATCCTCGAAGGCGATGCCCTTCTTGGAGCGCCCCACATGTCTTGCTCCCCGCCCGGGGCCACTCTCGCCCCTGCCGCCGCCTCTCCGCAGCGCAAAAAAAAGGCAACAGGCGACGAGGGCAAAAGGCCCCGCCGGCGGGAGGGTCCTCCTCCTCCCCCTCCCCTCCTCCTCCTCCTCCTCCTCCTCCTCCTCCTCCTCCCTCAACTCCTCCTCATCCTCCTCCTCCTCCTCCTCCTCCTCCTCCTCCAACTCCTCCTCCTCCTCCTCCTCCCTCCTCCTCCTCCTCCTCCTCCTCCTCCTCCTCCAACTCCTCCTCCTCCTCCGCCTCCTCCTCCTCCTCCTCCTCCTCCTCTCCTCCTCCTCCACCCTCCTCCTCCTCCAACTCCTCCTCCTCCTCCTCCAACTCCTCCTCCTCTTCCTCCTCCTCCTCCTCCTCCTTCCTCCTCCTCCTCCTCCGAGACGAGAGCGACGGGGCGCACAGAGAGAGGCTCACTAGCCTAGATCTAGGGCGAACGTCTTCTTGTTCGGCGTCTCCACATTGGGCGAGGGGGGGGGTCCAGAGGCCTCCAAGATGGGGTCCGAGTAATTAGATGGGATCGAAGGATCGCGCCGCACCGCCGATACATCGCCGATGCATCGGCGATGCACCAACGACGCCAGCGATGCATCGACGACGTCAGCGTGGAGAAAATCGGGCTCCCCATCAAGCCGTATCGCCGATGCATCCGCGATGCGGCGCAGTCCTCTGCCCCCATCTACTCCGACCCCATCTAGGAGGCTTAGAGGGTCTGGCTCTGGATTTCTGCTGAATGCGGCTGCTTGCAACAAGGCTGCCTCTGGGGGAGACTCCACCCGCTCGAGACATGCGCCAAAACAACAACCTGTGAATACCAGTTTGGCCGTTCCGCGTGGGAGGTCCTCAAACTTTGGGTAATCGGGTACGTCCCTCAAGCGGATCGCAACGTAACGGTCCAACAACCCAATAGTTGTTAAACATGTTTGCTCGATATGTGTCCAAACGACGGCGGTACAGAAGGTTCATGCGGCGATGGCGCGCCGGCGAAAGCGTTCAAGGTTGAATTCCGCACAATAGAGCGACGCGGAAGCACCGAGGAACACGGTAACGCCACAAGACACGACTGGATTCAACCCTGAACGATCGGGGCCGTGATCGGTTCAAGGTTGAACGATCGATGCGGTGTCAAAACCCTTTGCGCGCGCCAGCGCCGCAAGAACCTAGCGTACCAAACATTCTGCACAAGCATATGAAACCAAGTTGGTCTGACACGGTTTCGAAATAGTGTTGTCATCAACGGCTCTGCATCCACTGATCCCAAGCTTGATCATGTGTACTCAGGCATGCGAACACTATGGTGTTGTTTCCTCCACCTCCTCCTCCTCCTTCTCCTCCTCTTCCAGGGTGAGTGGGACGTGGGTGACGCCTGGACGGCCGTTGCCTACTCGTGAAGATGCCCTGTGGAAGTCTTTGGATTGAGCCCCTCTCCGAGCGCGTGCCCCCGCTGATTGCGGGGTAGCCTGTGCACGCCACGCTCGTGCCGTGTCCCGGCTTCGCCCCGACGCGCGTGCGGATCGTCCCCGCCGCGCTGCGAAGCAACACCAGGGCACGCCACGCACGCTTCGTGGACGAGACTCTCGGTGGCACTTCTGTGGTGCAGGTGGCCGATGGGCCATATAGCTCGCCCAGGCCGTCCGCGGGAGCCGTGCCCTGTGGCCACCCCCGGACCCCGGGCCACCCTCGGACCTCTGGCTCTGCGGTGGCTCTATGATCTGTGGGCCCGCCGGGGCCCGCCGCCCGCCCAGACAGAACCGCGCCTGGCTGGGCCGAGGCCCCGGTCCGATGCCCTGCCCCGGCCTCCCGTCCCTGGCAGGTCTTCCCGACACTCGACCCCCGACCTCGACCCCCGATCCTCGACGCCTCGACGGCGGCCTCGACCCTCCGACCCTCCGACCCTCGACCTCGGACCGACCCCTCGACCCCGACCCTCGACCCTCGACCTCGGCCCCGGCCTCCCATCCTCGCTCCTCGCCCTGCCCCTGCCAGGTGCCCCCCCCCCGAGCCTCGACCCCCCGAGCCCCCCCCCCGCCCCGCCTACCCCCTTCCGCCCGCCCCGCTCCTGCCGCCGCTGGGCGCCAGCCCGGCCCTCAGCGCCAGCCGCGCCGCCTCCAGCAGCTCCTCGCGGCGGCGAGCCCAGGGGAGGCGCGCGTAGGGGTTAGGAAGCAACTGCTGGGAGGTCTTCGTCGGAAAGATTATAAGGAGGATGAAGCCCTATTGCGGGGCTGGTTCGTCAAAGTGGGCTTCGAATTAAGCGGGATTAAGCCGGATTGAGCGGAATAAAGCGGGGTTAAGCCGGTTTAAACGGGATCAAGCCGGAGTGAGCCGGATTTCGGACCAGGGCAATATCAGAATCTGACCTCCCGGGAGTTGCATCCGAAGAGGGGGCAGGCCCTCAGCAGCCCCGACACGCGACCCGCAGCGCGTGGCGTATCGCCACGGAGCTCCACACGCGCGGATAGCACAGAGTGCGTCTGGCGCGGTACGTCCGCGCAAACGTGGGCCCGCACGTGCCGAGCCAACACGCCGCGTGTCAACACGGGCGTTCTGAAGACGGTGCGCGTCGCGTTTCGGCACGGGCGTATCAGGGCAGCCAAAAGCAGGCCTTCTCACACGGCTGCGTGGCTTCTGATAAGCCCTCCGACCTCCTGAGAAGCCGTCTGCTGTCTCGGGGGAAGGCCCAGACAACTACTCGGAAGGCGGGCGGGATGCCAAGCCTTCCGGGAAGGCCCGCCCCAGTGACTTCCCCCCTTAGGGGCAACGATAGTGGGGGACTGGCAAAAGGGGGGACGCATCGACCTGGAATCGGCGATACATCGCCGATAGATCGGCGATGTGCCCCCGTTAGCGAATCCGTACGTTACTGGGCAGGTTAGGGCGCTTGGGTCCCTATCGGCGATCAATGGACGATTGGGGGTCGATGCGTCCCCCCATATGCTCATCCCCTCCCTATCGTTGCCCCTGGCCCCCTGGGCTCGCCGCCGCGCTTCCACGCGGAGGATGCCAGAGAATCGGCGGCTCAGAGATAGGAGCGAGCGCGTTCTGTGGGCGCTTGGACAGGGTAGGGTTCGGAACCAAGGGGGCCCTCCCCCCTGGATTCACGGAGGGGGTTCGACCCGCCCCCCCCCCCCTCCCCACGGGCGCAGGCGCCGGCGGCGGCTGGCGGCGGCAGAGGGCAGCGGCGAGGCGTGGTCGCGGGAGTAGGTGTGGATGTGGGTGTGTAGGTGTGGGTGTGGGTGTGGGTGTGGGTGTGGGTGTGGGTGTGGGTTTGGGTGTGGGGGCGTGGCTGTGGGTGTGGGTGTGGGTGAAGGTGTGGGCGTGGGCGTGGGTGGGGGTGTGGGTGCGGGTTTGGTGCGGGTTGGGCGCGGGCGCGGGCGCTGTTGGCGTGTGCGCTGGCGTGGGCGCGGGAGCGGAAGCCAGCGCAGGCGCGGTCGCGGGCGTGGGCGCGGGCAGGGGAGTGGGTTGTAGGCGTGGGCTTGGGCGTGGGCGTGGGCGTGGGCCTGGGCGTGTGCGTGGGCGTGGGTGTGGGCGTGGGCGGGGGTGAGGGCGTGGGTGTGGGTGTGGGCGTGGGCGTGGGTGCGGGCGCGAACGTGGGCGTGGGCGTGGACATGGCGTGGGCATGGGTGTGGGCGCTTGCGCGCCTGCGGCGTTGCACCGTCCGCACGCTCCCCCCCACCGGCTCTGGCGCTCCGCGAGGGCGGAGCGGATGGAGTGGAGGGAAGGCCGGGCTCTGAATGGAGCGGTGCCTCAACCCTCCGGAGCGCCGGCGAGGGGAGGCGGGGGGCTCGCGCGGGCGGTGGAGGGGCGCGGGGGAGGAGGGCGCTGAGCAGGCGGGGAGGGGTGCGTCAGTGCGAGATCGTTTGCGTGGGCGTGGGCGCGGGCGAGGTCGTAGGTGCGGGTGTGGGGTTGGTGTGGGTGTGGGGTGGGGCGTGGCTGTGAGTGTGGGCGTGGGTGTAGGTGGGCTTGGGCGTGGGCGTGGGCGTGGGCGTCGGTGTGGGTGTGAGTGTGGGTGTGGATTTGGGCGTGGGTGTGGGTTTGGGTGTGG